CTTAACAATAGTGGAATGATGGCCATTTTAAGGCCGAAAATGCATCAAAATCGCGTATTTTCACAATTTCAGAACCGGATCTCAGTCATGCATGGATGGATTTTGTTCAGATTTAGCACAATGTGTTGTACACATGCAGGTGCATTTCGGTCATGATCTGCTTTGAATGTATATGTCACTCAAATATGAACGGAACGGGGACGTGTCATTGACAATGACTTGTTTTTTAAATGAGATTATCGTTTTTGTTACTGCTTTAAGGAATTCAATGATCACAAAAACGAGGAAAACGCCCGGCCCCCTGGTTAACGACCCTCGATCACGGGCGATCACGGCATATGACAAACCCGTGCTTACACTGAAGGGTTAGAAAGCTCAAATATCGCGAGATCAGGCGCGAGTTCAAGGTGCCTGATCTTTTAGCTTTCTAACAGTGAAAAGGGTATGAAATTTTGACCTTTTAAAACGTGTTTAGGGTCATTTTGAAAACCCTTTTCACAGACACGGGTTCAAGGTATTTCCACAAGTCAGATCCCCGGGAGTGATGTCTGCTGGTGTGATGTAACATGTGATCTAATAGTCTTCTATCGGTTTCGAATTCTGCTTTCTGATGCATTCTTATGAAGCAGTGTGACTGGTAGAGTAGACTACCTAGAAATACTCAATACTCATTGGTTATGTATATAGGTTAGAAAAATGGAAAAATTGTAAAATCATTTAGTTTCACTGGTTTTTAATTTCACTATTTTGATGATTTGAGCAATTTCACAGGATTTTAAGTTCACAAACTTGGCAAGGAAACCTTGTATTCTATTGTAATTTAGTGGATTAAGTCATTGGCAAAAGTAGCGAAATTAAATCCCAGTGAATACTGTGGAAAACTTTATTATCGCTGGAATTAATTTTTCGCTGAAAAAGCTTTTTGGGCATTTTGTATGGAATTTATTTTCACTGATTTTTGATGAGTTTAATGTGAAATGTAGGAAAAAAATGTATATTCGCTGGATTTTATTTTCACTGAATCATTCCTTCAGCGAAAATAGCAAAAATTAATTCCAAGCAAAAATAAAGTATTTTACAGTAATTTATACATGTACATTACAATATTCCATCCCGTCAGCACTAATGAGATTTTGTGAGAAACCACTCACCAACAGAGTTCACATGTCAGACTTCAACTATGCCGGGCATAATATTCAATTGGTGTTGTATTTCTTTCATAGGTTTAATTGCAAGACTGGTGTTTAGTGATCAAGTTTTTGTCACACAGTTCACAGATTCAGTTCTAGAACTCAAGGTGAGTTCATTTGGACCACTACATACACACACACCTCTGTCATTTTGAAATAGAGCATTTATGGTATATTAATTTTCACTTGTTTCCATGGTGATGAATCTCACTTGTTTTTGTTTACTCACAGGCTGAAGGTTTGTTAGCAACACTGGTAACCAAGCAGTGTTCAGAATTGGTCCAGTGTGATGTAATATCAATGTATTCCCACATTTTGAGGATGTCATCACAAGATCTGACACTTATTAAAAATGCTCTGAAAGGAGAGAATGGTATGCTTTGATTTTTAATGAATTTCCATTTCTCATATTTCACTTCAAGGATTAGTTGCTGTTTTGAATATTCTTCTCTGGACAGGAAGTGAGCTTGTTACATGCAGACAGACAGACTGCTGTTTTCAGACCTTTCCCATGACATAACATGCTGAGATATCATACAGGGTCCATAGCGATGGGAAAATCCTTTGAAAGTCTTTGGATTTGTTGAGGTCTGCAAAGTCTATGAGTTGTCTTTAAATTACTTTAAATTATTAATTCATTTTAGAAAGGCCCGTTTTCTCCAGGGAACTACTATATCCTCAGAACTTTGAGCTTTGGTGATGTTGTTCGCCTGAATCAAGGGTCAAAATGTCTTGGGGGGTGCAAGAAAGTTTGGGAAATGGTCTGGAAATCATTTGACTCTTGTTGCTATGGACCCTGTCATAGCAGTTGACAAACAGGCAGTCAAACAGAGACTGCTGATTTCGATGTCTGCTTCAGAACATTGCAACCTGATTTGTTTGTCCATTTTCTTCAACTGCCGTGCCAGTGTCTTATAAATATGATGTATGTTTTCAATAAATTATTTTTATTGTATTATAAGGTGACTACCAGCCATTGAAGGCAATCCTATCACATCAGAATGCGATGTTACAGTGCCGTGGCTGTGGCATGCTGGGTAATATGTTAAAACACACTAATGAATTCTACAGTGTGTTGAAATCTAAAGATAGTTTGATAGCCGCACTCTTGAAATGTCTTAGTCACGAAGACAGTGATGTTAGAAAGGTAAGTTTTTTTTGAAGAGTTGAAGCGCTGAAAGGTTTTGTCAACAAAGAAAATATTTTTTGATCTGATCTGTAACTGTCATACTATACCATAACAGCTCTTTGAAAGGGTTG